TCATTTTTGTATACAGCCTTGGAAATTTAATTTGACACCACAGGCATATATCAATATACATTTACATAGACAACATTTTAAGGGTGTTTTTTTTAATTATAAAAGCAATAAGTACAATGAAAATTTCACAAAATGAGAAACCTAGTGTACAATATGAAACATAAACTAGAAGGAAGTTATCACCCCAGCAATGCTTCTAAACTTTTCTCTTTATTTTTTAGCATAGTGGATATAATTCTATAATCAGCCTTTTACACTAATCTTATGATATGGACACTTTCCCATGTTATTAAAATTATTTGTAGATATTATCTTAACATAAGGTTCTTATATGAATTTGACAGATTTATTTAATTATTCCCCATTGACACTCCTTTACACAGATTCAGAAGTTTCTTTTCACACCCACACACACGTGTGCGCACACATGAGTACTTTTTTTTTATAAGAGCTTTAAAAAATTGCAGTGGCTTCTGATTTTAATCATGTAATTATTTTGATTTCTATCTTGGATAATTAAAGATTTTTATATACTTAAGTACCTTGCTCCTGAATCTTCTACTAGAGCCAGGATAATTATCAGAGGTTCCTTGCCCCTGCCTGGTGACTATCCTGATCCAATCCAGGGTCTGAATGGAGTTCAGGGATGCTGGCCTGGGAGACGTTTTTGTAAAGAGGGTGCCCAGCCCTGCACAAAAGGCGATGCTCCAGCTCTCAGAATGGTCCTTTGTAAGCTGTGTCATTCTTTCTAGGCTTAGAACTGCCTCAGATCAATTACGCTGCTCACAACGGGAAGCCATATCGGTATATCTTTGGTTTTGACGTTCAAAGGACTCTCAACCCAAACAAGGTACTGATTCCTGGTCAATCACCGCTTGCAACAGTCCTATCTGTCTACAAAGCTGAGTTCTCAGGTTCTCAGACTGGGTGACCTTGATTAGAAAATGGAGGGCAAGAGGGAGGTCCCCTGTGGGATAGGAGGTAGGTCAGAGAGTAGGTCAGTTTGGAACCAAATACATTTGAAGCAATGATGAGCCCGTGGAGAAAGCCATACCTAGTGGGCTGAAGCTCAGGAAAGAGGCCATGGCTGCAGTTTATCCATTGATTTCTTTATTCCAGGCGTGTTTTTTGAATGCCAACTATGTGTTACAAGGTAGTAGGCAATAAGGATTAGGAAGTATACAGGGTCTCTCAAGCAAGGAGGGTATAGCTAAAACTTGGAAGATTTAGTTGTGTGTTTTTTCAAACTGCTATTTGTGAAATAGGTTAAGTGCTGTACAGATACCACTTTTATCTTCTTTTTAAACAATAAATGGGAAGTCTTTGAAAAAATGTACACATAGAAAAGTACACACTAAGAAAATTAATTTTCCACACACATGTACAACCCCCCACCACCACCATCAATCACTCCCCACTAACCCCATACCATAAGGGAAACTGGCCTCTTGGTGATTAAAAGTCCAGTGATCTGTACTTTTAAAACAACAAAAGAATTGTATTATACTTTATTTTATTTTTTAAAAATATTTTTTTATTGATTTTCAGAAAGAGAGGAAAAGTTGAGGGGGAGAGAGAGAAAAACATTGGTCAGCTGCCTCCTGCAAGCCCCACTAGGGATCAAGCCCACAGCACGAGCATGTGCCCTGACCAGGAATTGAACTAGTAATCTTTCAGTACCAAGGGTGATGCCCAACTAACTGAGCCACACCAGCCAGGGCTGTATTATACTTTAAAATGTTTGCATTAGAGCCCTGGCTCATTTGGCTTAGTGGATAGAGTGTTGGCCTGTGGACTCAAGGGTCCCAGGTTTAATTCTGTCAAGGGCACATGCCCAGGTTGCTGACTAGATCCCTAGTAGGGGGGCATGCAAGAGGCAGCCAATCAATGATTCTCTCTCATCATTGATGTTTCTACCTCTCTCTTCCTCTCCCTTCCTCTCTAAAATCAATGAAATGTTTGCATTGGATATGTTAACTTATTTAACTATAGGAAAATTGCAATGTGATACCAAACACCAGATAAATTCAGGATTTTTGTTTTGAAAAGAATTCCGTGTGTAGTGTCAGCTATGTGGTGGCAGGAGGACCGTTGCTTCAAGTTGGAGGAGGAAGCTCATTGCTTTCATGACTCCAAGATGTCATTTTGGAGTCTACATGGGAGGGGCTTAATCCTTTCTCTGTGGGGCTCCCATGCTTTCTTTCTCTGTACTATAAGCATGCTTTCCAACAAGTTATCTCCATGTTTTCCTCTTTGGATATGCAGATAATAAAATATGACATTCTCACAAAGTCATCCTTAAGATGGGGAGAGGATCACTACTGGCCATCGGAACCCGTGTTTCTGGCCACACCAGATGCCAAAGAGGAGGATGACGGTAAGACTCGGGGAAGGGAAGCCCGCCCATTGTACTCTGCTTGTGATCACATCCTCAGACAGAGACATCATTTGGGGACAGTGGCCCCACCCACATCACACAACTCGGGGAGCTGTGCTTTGAAACCCCAGCCTGTATGAATCTAAAACAGCACGGTTAGGGAGTCCTCAAGACCACCCATATCTCTGACATCAACTTCAAGTTTTGTGGTCCCCAAGTCCATCTTTGGTTTCAATAGAAGGAATCACAGAACACACTGAAAATTGTTACTCTCATGGTTATGGTTTATCTCAGCGAAAGGATGCAGATTGAAAGAGAAGAGGTGTATGGGGCCACGTCCAGGAGAGTTCTATGCGTAGAGCTTCAGTTGTTCTCTCTGGAAAGTCATGGATGCCACCTTCTGCCAACAATACTTATGGAGTATCACCCACCAGGGACACTCCCCGGAGCCTTGGTGTCAGAGCCTGTGGGGAAGTGTGGGAGGGGGTTGGCCATATAACTGTGGTCTTCAGCCCCTCTGGAGGTCAAGCTGACTCTGGCTTAAAGCTCCCATATAAGTCCCTTGGTGAGGGTCTGTTATCTGGTTGGCCCCAGGTTAGCAGTCACCTCCTAGCATTGAGTTATTTGCTGCACAAAAGCCCACTTCCCAGTGAGCAGCACCATGCTTTCCCAGAGTGTAGAACCTTGGTTTTAAAATTCACTTTCACGGCAGGGTCAGAGTTCTTCATGTAACTTTCTGGGGAGGAGCACCTAGAAATGTGTGTTTGAGGCCCACCTTGCTTTGCTGGATTTCCACATGACAGATGGTCCTTTCCCTCCTTGATTCTGACTTTGACCCAGAAATGCCCTGCCTATACCCATGAGGGTGCCAAAGAGAGTAACAAAGAACCCTGGGTGGGGCTGCCCCATGGAGCCTGCCAGCTGCTTCCCTCAGGTGAGAAGGGAGAGGTTTTCTACCTACTGATCATGCATGGCATGGTGCCCAGCTGGGGACCCCGTGTCACTGTCATCTCTGAGGTTGGGGGTTGAGGGTACCACCTCCTGCTGAGGCTATGAGAGTGTGTCCCATGCATTTTCCCCATGGGCAGGAAGTAGCATTGTCTTCATTTCACCAAAGGAGAGGCCAAGAGAATGAAGTAACTTGCCCACAGTCACACGCCCAATGCCTATAGAGATAGGATTTGAGACCAAGCCGATCTGACTTCAATTATGGCTCTGAAACCTGAGAGGCCCTGGGACGAAGTACGAATGTTTGCTGGAAGTTTATGTTATGTGCATTATTTTTAACCCTCTGTTCCTTGAGAATGAGTGCTTAAAATGTTCTCATTGTACAGAGGGGGAAACTGAGGCTGCGTTGAGGTGGATTGGGCTCATTCATATGGATTTGAGTGTAACTAGTCTGAATTTAGCCAAGTGACGCATGTTAGCCTAAATGCAACATCGAAACCAATTCTCTATAGTCAGTTTCTAAATAGTAGGGAAATAGCCATTCTGCAACACCTGCAGTAATTTACAAAGTGCTTTTATAATTCATCATGCAAGCGATCCTCTTAAGCAAGCCTGTTGGGGCAGGGACATTATCTCACTCTACCAATGAAGAGACTGAGGTTCAGAGAGGTAAAGGGACTAGCCTACCCAGGGTTGGAAGCAGGTCTCCTGAGTCCTAGTTCTTTCTCTTCTGCTCACACAGAATATAAAATTCACTTTCCTTCTGTTTTGATAGATACTGACATTCATAGAGGATGGGAAGACATAGCTGAGAAGCTCGTCCCTCCAACTGGAGGAGATTCAAGGCTGCACTTTTACTAAGTGTCTCTTTTTGTTTCCCCAAAGGAATTCTCCTAATGACCATGGTCTCTTCTGATCCCCAAAAGCTGCCTTTTCTGCTTATTTTGGATGCCAAAAATTTTGCAGAACTAGCTCGCGCATATGTTGATGTGGACATGCACCTGGATCTCCACGGGTTATTCATCCCGGACACAGACTGGGACACAAGGAAGCAGGCCCTTCCCAAAGAAGTTCAGGACAGGGCTTCAGACTGCCCCGTGGCCTCGCAGACAGGACAGGCGTGAGCAGCCCCATGGGTAGGCTCCAAGGGACACAGGTGTGATTCCCCCTCTGGGTGAAGGGTCGGTCCTTCCTTTCATTTGGTGTTTATTCTTTCAGTCTTTGCTTTGAGACAAAGGTTTGGAGGTAGAGCTCATCAGTATCTTTCTTTCATTTCATTTTGGCCATGAAAACCATGTTTGAGCATTGATCAAATATTTATTGATAGCTCTAGCACTTCTAAGAAAGCCCCTTTTCGTCCTAGCCAGTTTGGCTCAGTAGATAGAAAGGTCCCAGGTTTGACTGCAGACAAGGGCACATACCTTGGTTGCAGACTCCTCCTTGGCCCAGGAGCTGGTCGGTGTGTGCAGGAGGCAACCAATCAATGTGTTTCTCTCACATTGACATTTCTCTCTATCTTTCCCTCTTTCTTCCATTCTCTGTAAAAATGAATGGAAAAATATCCTTGGGTGAGGATTAAAAAAGAAAAAAAGAAAAGAAAAGGAAAGGAAAGCTCCTTTCCTATAAAGACCATGACCTTGAATCAGTAATTATGTTGTCATGTATTCATCGCTCTTAGAATGACAGAGAAGAGATAAACATTTATCTTCTTAGTCCATCCCCTTCTCTCCCTTACCTCCCTCTGTTCTTTCCAGTGAACTAGATTGTACGCCTGGGAGTTCTAGCCTTCTCACCATGCCCAGATAGTAAATTATGTTGCCAGGAAGGCATGTTGCTTTGTTGTCATTCCATGCAAGGCATGGCATAATATAAAATAATAAAAACTTTAAAGTCTCTTCAGACCTTATTTTATTTTTACATGGCTTCTTTCCTCTGAAGTTCTTCTAAGGCAATAAAATACAGTGGCAGGGCTAGATGGTTGGTAGCAAGCTTGCTGGCTCATTGTACAGCCAAAGCTTCAACAAATGGGTGTGGGAATCGCCTTTTACAGGAGGTGGTTAAGGGTCTGGACACTGACCCGACTGGCCATAGCTAAGGGGCCAAGATCCAGGACTGAGTCCCAGGCCAGGGCTGGCTTGAGGAGCACTTGCCCGATGCTGAGAACCAGGGCAGCAAGCCACACCCGTGTGTACAGGAAAGAAGGTTCTCCAAGGTGAATGTGCTGTTAGGACAGACCAAGCATTTGGGGCAGAGGTGGAAGGAGTGTGGTGGGGATGTAGAAAAGTATGAGCAAGCCAAGCACGGTCCCATGTGAGTCCTGGGAGTCCAGGGCCATGTCTGGTACCTGGTTTAGAGAACCAAAGGCAGGCCTGATAGTTCCCAGATACCTATGGCAGAGAGTCAGGGAGGCCTGGCATTCCACCCTTAGTATTGCATCTGCCTACTCCTGAGTCTAGATTTCATTCAGTCACCAGAGGGGATTCGTGACATGTTGCAAGGATGGGATGGAATCTCCCTGACAGTGCATAAATATGCCAAAGGGGGAGGCAGGCAGATGGTCTTGGCTTTTGCCCTGCAGCTACCCTGAAGCCATACTTAGTTTCTACTCAAATGTTGGCACCATCAGGTAAGGGACATTTTTTAAATTTAAACTTTTATTGGAATAATTATTGATTCGTGTGCAGTTTGAAGAAATGATAATGGGAGATTCTACATGAACTTGAATGTTTCCCCCAATGGTAACATTTTAGTACAATATCACAACCAGACTATTGACATAGGCCAATCCACAGATATTATTTGGATTTTCCCAGTTTTACCTGGGGGTGGTGGTAGGGTGGGGCGTGTGAGTGTAGTTCTATACAATTTTATCACATGTGTAAGTTCCTGCATCCAACACTACAGTCAAGATATTGAATAGTACATTGACACAAGGATGTCTCAGGTTGCTTTTCTATCACCACACCTATCTCTCTCTTACCACCACCTCCCATATCTCACCCCTGGTAACCATTATTTCTAAAAGTTTATCATTTGAAAATGTTATGTAAATGGAAAAATAGAATCACACAATATTAACCTTTGGGGATTTAGCTGTTCTCACACACAGCAGAATTCCTTGAAGATTCATCCAATCTGTTCCCTTGTTGGGTATGTTTTACTCACTACTTTATCCTCAGCATCTAGAATACTGCAGGCAGGTTCAGGTTCTCAATGACTAGCTGTTGAATGAATAAATGAATTCCCTCAACAAACAGATTCAACTCGATAATGTACCAACAAGAAATGAGTATTTATTTTACTAAGGATCTCCTGGGAAAATAAGGAAGACTGTTCACATGGACCCCCAACACACAAAATTCCCATGCAGGTTCCTGCCATCACTCTTCCCCTATAGGTCCCTCAAAACCTCTTCTGTCCTCCCAGAATTTCCATTTCATGCAAAGCTTACAGATCTCATTAAAAAACCGGACTGTAAAGACGACAGAATGAAGACCATCCCATCTTCCTCAGACTCTCTCCCAGAGGTCTCAGCACCTCCAGTCTTGACAGGGTGCATCAGGAAATGCCACCTGTGGTGGCCGAAGAAAAGGGTGACTGAGGTCAGTATTCAGGTGGCAGGAGTGGAAAAGGGTTGTGACAGTGATCATCACTCACCTACTCGTTATTCTACTTTAAATATTTGAGAAGAGGGTGGGATGAAAAAATGCCTCCCCACCTCCATTCTACTCAATTCCCATTGCCAAACAGCACCCAGACCTAATCATGAAAAAGGGTGCAGTTCTGCGGGGAAGAAAAATATGTCCACGGTGGTTTGTTTACCTTGTTTAAAATGAGAGGTGAAATACCAGACTGATGAGGAAGCTTGGCACAACAAATCTTTTTTTCTCAGTTTCAAAAGCACCAAAGGTCAGTTCCCATGATATCTGACCTTTTTTGTACCTTAATTCCATCGCATTTCATACACAGGCAAGGGTAATGAGCTCAAAATGCTGTAGTTAGCTAAGATGCATGCGTCTTTCTTCAAGGCACCACAAGACAATCCATCCTGTCTTCGAGCCTTCCTTGTTATGCTGCAGGTGGGTGGAGTACGTGATCAGGAAGCTCTACAGGAAAAATCACTCAGCTCTGTTTATTGCTCTGGGAAAGCCACAACATCTCACAAGTGCTCTAAGATGGAAGCGCAGGTACACGGTAAGCTCTCAAGTGTTTGCTGACACACTCCCCTTTTCCTTCAAGGGTTTCTCTTAAGTTGATTCCAATTCAGGAACAATCTGGATCTATATACCCAGACAACTCAACTCACGGAAAATCTAAGTGCATTCGAGCTACATCAGCAGTATTGGTTCGTGTTCATTTCTTCCCAACCAAAGTTACCAAGCGTCAGGCTGACTCCATTAAGAAGGTTGCTTGTCCAGGTTAAATACAAACACCTTTGATCACTTCTTAAGTTGTTTGAAGATTGTTTGGGTGGTTTTTAAATGAGAAGTCTTTCCCATGGCAAATCAGGACATGCAAACAGAAAAGTCATTGCCACCTTCCTCATTATTCAGCAATAATGGTGAGACCATGGCCTCACCACCAACTTCCTTCTGGGGGGTCATTTTTTTATTTTTTAAAATTAAATTGATTGGGGTGGCATTGGTCAACATGAACATACAGGTTTCAGGTGTGAGTTTCTATGTTACAAAATCTGTATATTGTACTCTGTGCCCACCATCCTAAGTAAAGTCTTCTGTCACCCCATATTAGGACCTCCTTCACCTCCCACCCCCTCCCCCTTGGCAACCACCACACTGTGTTTCTGTTCATGAGTTTCCATTTTACATCCCACATATGAGTGAAATCTTACGGTTCTTAGCTTTTTCTGTCTGACTTATTTCACTTAGCATAGTGTTTGTTCTTAAGGTCCATCCATGTTGTTACAAATGGCGCTATTTAATCCTTTCTAATGGCTGAGTAGAATTCCATTGATTACATGAACCACACCTTCCTTATCCAGTCCTCTATCACAGGACACTTTGGTTGTTTCCATGTCTTGGTCACCGTGAGCAATGCTGCAATGAACATAGGGGTGCATATATCTTTGTGAATATATGTTTTCGGGTACATGCCCAGGAGAGGGATTGCTGGGTCATATGTTAGCTCTATTCTCAATATTCTGAGGAATTGCCAGACTGCTTTCCATAGTGGTTAGGGGTGTAGACTCATCAGCCAGGTGCAGAGACACACAGGCCTGGCTGCACCAGCTGCTGGGCTGCATCAGGAAATGGTCTCTTGAGGTCAAGAAGCTGGAGATTACCTCAGACAAGGGGAGCAAAGGGATATGTGGTGGCATTGTGGGGCCCTAGCCAGCCTTTTTCTCCTTCTGGTGATCAGGAAAGGCTTCCTAGAAGTGGCGGGAGGAAGCACCCAGCAAAGTCCTTGTAGGCTAAGGGTACAGTTCAGGATGAGGATTTACAGGTGGATGTGGGTTAACTGAGCGAAGCAGGTGGAGAGTAAATTTCCTAGGAAACAGCAGTGGAGTGAGAGAACTGGAGGATTTCCCCCCCTCTGGTTATTAAAGTTGTATATGGTCATTGTAGAACACCTGGATACATTAAGAAAAGGAAATGAAGGTGTGGCTCAGTTGCACCAAAAGGTCACCTGTTCGATTCCTGACAATGGGGCTTCATCCCAAGTAGGGGGCATTGCAAGAGGCAGCTGATCTGATGTTTCTCACATTGATATTTTTCTCACATTGATATTTTTCTCTTTCTTGGTCTCCCCCCCCCCTTCCTCTCTAAAGTCAATAAAAAACATATTTAAAAAAAAATGAGGAAGACACCCTTTGTCCAACCACAAAAAGGAAACCCCTCAATCATTCAGGTGTGGGTATTTTTTTCCTCAGTTTAAGATTTTTTTTTTTGTGTGCACAGTTTGCATATTAGCAATCACTTTCTAATATACTAGCCCATTAATAACCTGTTGTCATTTTTTCACAACAAATGATTCACGCGTTTTCCCAGGTCACTAAATCCTTCTAATGGGTATATATTACTTCATCTTTGGGACGTAACATGATGTGCACTGCCCTGCTGCTGGACATTTAATTTGTTTGTGTGTTTTGGCTATTGTAAGTAATACCCATGTAGTAACTTTGTGCCTGGGTTTCAAGAGCTCACTCTCTCCCTGGCTCTGTATTCAGGCGCTTGTTGTTTTCTTTGGCTAGATTCCCAATTTTGGATTTCTGAGCCAAAGTTAGAATAACAAGGTTTAGGGTGTTCTTTGAAAGGCCAATAGGTTTGGTTTGATTTATAGGAATACAAGTACTAGCCATTCTAGAATCTGAGAGACTGAAATGATCAACATGGCTGTAGGGCTAAGGAATCCTTATTTCTCAGAAAAGAAAAAAGCTGGGTATGGGTACATGCTAATATGACTTTAGTCCAAATCTCCCCTTCTTCCATTTCCTTATTCTTTCTTATTCTCTGTATCTTTCCACTCAATACATATACTTGGTCTTTTTCAGGCATATGTTCATTTTACTTCATTCATTCATCTATTCATTCATTCATTTCATGTTGGCATGTAATGGTAAGCAAAACCAGCATCTCAACTGTCCTCAGGGAGCAAATGGCACAGTATAGGACACAGTACCAAGGAAACAAACCAACACAATTCAATGGAATGGGGTTAAGAAAATGCTGTGTTGGGAGCCAGGGATGGCTGACATGTGAAGGATAGTACCAGGTAGGTAGGTGATATGGGTGATCCAGATAAATGGGCAGTGCCTCCATCTGGAATCAGGAGACAGCATGGGAAACTTGAAAAAGGTGGACCATAGAAAAGACAAGTTCCAACCAGATCCCCAATTTATCTGTTCTCAAGTGACATGGAATTGGCATTAACTAAAGAGAAGTCTCCAGTGAGTTCTTCAAGGATAGACAGTCATTTATGAAAATAATACATTTTTTGAGACCTAATTCATATACCATAAAAATCCACTCATTTAAAGTGTACAATTTTATGGTTTTAGTATATTTTAAATTGTGCAACTATTGCCACTAATTTTAGAACATTTTCATCACCTCCTGAAAGGAACCCCCATTAGCAGTCACCCCTTATTCGGCACCCCTCTTCCCCAGTTCTAGGCAACCACAAACCTTCCTTCTACTTTATATGGATCTGCCTATTCTGGGCATTTCATATACATTGAATCATACAATGTTTAGGTTCTTTGTGACTGGCTGCTTCCACCTGGCATAATGTTTTCAAATTTCTTTAGGTTGTTGCATGAACTAGTACTTCATTCCTTTTTTGGCTAAGTAACATTCCACTGTATGAATAGGCCATATTTTGCTTACCCATTTGTCAGCTGACAGATATTTGGGTTGTTTCCTCTTTGGGACTATCATGATTAAGGCTGCTGTGAACATTCATGTGTAAACTTTTTATGTGAACATACGTTTTTACTTCTCTTTGAGTATATTCCTAGGAGTGAAATTGCTGTGTCATATGATAACTCTGTGTTTAACATTTTGAGAAACTCCCAAACTGGTTTTCAAAGTGGCTACACCATTTTACAATTCTACCAGCAATGTATGAGAGTTTCAGTGTGTCTACATCCTCCCTCATTTGTTATTGTCTGCTGTTTTTATTTTAGTCGTCCTAGATACAATGGAGTCTCATTGTGGTTTTGATTTGCATTTCCGTAGTAACTAATGCTGTTGAACATCTCACATGTGTTTATTTGTCATTCATACATTGTCTTTGGGGTAATATCCACTCAAATCCTCTGCCATTTTTTATTTTTTAATATATATTTTTATTGTTGATAGTATTACAGATGTCCCATTTTTCTCTCCTTTGCCCTCCTCCACCCAGCTCCTACTCCACCCAGACTTTCACCACACTATTGTCTGTGTCCATGGGCTGTGCAGATAAGTATTTAAATTCTTTGGTTAATCTCTTAATCCTTTGCCATTTTTAAACTGAGGTATTTGTGTTTTCATTGTTGAGTTGTAAGAGTTCTTTATATATTATTGATTTAAGTCTCTTATAAACATAAGATTTGCAATATTTTCACCTATTCTGTGTGTAGTCTTTTCACTTTCTTAATGGTGCCCTTTGAAGTATATCCTTTTTTTAAATTTTTATGAAGTCCAATTTATCTAATTTTTCTTTCATCTTTTCTGCTTTTGGTGTCAAATCTAAGAAACCGTTGCTCAGGTTATAGTCCCAAAGACTTACTTCTATTAATTTTATAATTTTAGCACTTACATTTAGCACTTCGATCCATTTCAAGTTAATTTTTATATACAGTATGAGGCATATGGATATCTAGTTGTCCCAGCACAAAAGTCACATTTTAGGGATTATAAATCTTCCAGGAAGGGAAAAAAATGTAGCCCCTATTTCTCCATCATTCCCTAGAAGATGTTTCCTTCAACCAGCAAGAATCAACTCTGGGCCAGTTCTCTACTGGTCCCAGCAAAGCCTTGGTTCACAGCCCTGGAGACCAAGACAGAATCCTCTATCAGTGGTGGTTGCCATGGCTCCTTCTGCAATGGAGATTTAGAACTCGTCCTCATCTCCATCACAGGGTCCTGGTGGAGCACCAGGTTAAGTCCAGTATATAAGAGCTCAAGTCAGAGTCATACACTCTGGTGGGATTTTCTAGAATTTTCTTTCTTTTTTTAAAACATATTTTTATTGATTTCAGAAAGGAAGGGAGAGGGAGAGAGAGAGACATCGATGATGAGAGAGTATCATTGATCGGCTGCCTCCTGCACACACCCCAACTGGGGACCAAGCCTATAACCCAGGCATATGCCCCAACCGGGAATCAAACTGAGACCTCCTGGTTCACAGATCGACACTCAATCACTGAGCCACGCTGGCCAGGCTTAAAGTACATCCACTATGTTCCAAGAGGATTGAAAGTGACCAATGTTCCTAGATCTCCTACTCTATTCCAAGTGTCTTCGGGACAGGTGAAAATCATGGATGGGTTCCCCGATTTCCCCTTCAGTCTGACATTTGGGTTGAGCAAACAAGAGGTTTTACCCTAGTTCAGCGTTCTCTAAATTACCATTATAATTAATGTCTACGTTGTTGGTGCATTCTTCTCTATTTAAGGCCAGAAACTGAGCTTTCTTATAATAATAATAGCAATAATATGACAACAGCTAATGTGCATTGACAATTCACATTGTGTTTAAGTACTTCACATGCTGGTTCTCATGTAATCCTCACAACAACCCTGAGGTAGGTCCTTGTACCTTTCCCATTTTATGGATGAGAAAACTGAGTATCAGAACAGTTAAGTAACTTATCCAAGATCAAACAGATGGTTCCTGCAACTCCAAAATCCATTTCTTTGGGAGGGAGTGGGGGGGGGGATATTTTCTTATTTAAAATTTCAATTATAGTCAACATGTATAATATTATGTTAGTTTCAGGTATACAATACCATCATTAGACATATTTATAACCTAGGAAGTGATCACCCCAGTGAGTCTAGTACAAAGTTCACCTTCTTAACCGTTTACTTTTATTGACTTAATCTTATTCACGTCTTCATCTTAGGGGCTTGGTTCAGTTCCTGGCACAAAGTGGGTGCTTAGTTAAATGACAGCACAATAGGTGAGAATGGATTACAGGTTCACAGCCTGGGCTTTATCCTCTTTGTCCTCAGTTTCATCATCCATAAAATAGACATAGTCCTTTTCTCTCATTCAAAGAGTTGTTCTGAAGCTTAAATGGAGATTATCTGACACATAGTAGATGCTCAATAAAATTTAATTTTTATTAACAAGCCTTAAAAGCAGTTAAGAGGTTGAATCTTGGCTCCCAAACCTTACTACTCATATGACCTTTGACACGTCATTTAATCTCTCTGTGTCTGTATTTTCTCATCTGTGAAATGGGGAGAATACTAGAATCCACCTTATAGGGCTAAATTTATGTTCTTAAAGTTCATAGAAGAAGTGCCTGCCACATAGTCCCACCTCTGAGTCAGCTAAGATAATGTGGGCAATTCACAGAGGACGCTATTCATATAACCTTGAATGAAGAATGTCATCTTTCTTTTGGGAAGAGCTTTACTCCTGGTGTGGTGAGAGAGGAAGGGGTTAGTTTCCTTGGCATCCAGAGTGTCCAATGGCATTGGAGATGACATGAACAAATCGAGCAACAAACCCAGTCTAATCGAGCATGACATAGCCTCATGTAACAACCATCTCCTAGAACTGGTGTGCAAAGGGATTCTGTGTATTCAGGGCACAGAACACGTGGTCAGGGATAGGACATCACACGGCAGGGATTTTTTTCACTTTGGTGCATTACTATGTCCTTGTCTACAAATAACACTTGTAGTAATTTGCTTCAACAAATCTCCACACATGTGGAGGTGTAAAGCAGCACAAGTGTATGCTTACAGTTCTGGAAGTCAGCAGTCCAAAGTGAGTTCTATGGGAATAACATGAAAGCGTCAG